CTGTATATATACAAAAGGATGGTGTCACACCAGTTTTGTACCTTCACAATTCAGAAATTCTCTTCCCTGCACAGAGTGGGGAACCAGTCTCTGTATGGTCTTTTTGTTCAGTGCACTTTAGATGTCTGCAGTGCAGATGTGTACATATGAGGTAGTCACTTGTGCTGGTTTAAAGGTAAACCAGCAGGGGAAATGAACTCAACTCAAAGGAGAGATTATAAATCAGAATAACAATTTAAAAAATAATACAATAAATACGATTATACAGACAAACAGTTGGTTTTAACCCACAAAACCCAAATGTTTAACCCAGCACCCTGGGGCATGAACAGAGTGGTGTTCACTGGGCCCCCTGAGTCCAAGGTAAAAGGAGAGGGGAAAACCTGTTGGTGAGAGTGGTGATTGCAGTCCGGTCGAGAGTGGTGGTTGCAGTCTGGTTGAAAAAGTGGTGGTTGCAGTCCAGTTGAGAGTGGTGGTTGCAGTCTTCCTCTGGATCCCACGAGTGGTTAAAAAATTCCCAAGACTCCAAGATTATATATCCTCCAGTTCAGGCAGGAATGCCCAGTACCTCCCTCAGGGTGAGGAGTTCCACAGTGGGTGTGAGGACAGGAGCATTCTCCTGTCTCGCAGGCCTCTTAACACCCAGTTTATAGCCTGAGGAGTCAGGCTGCTCTGGGCAGATTGTGTAAATGGTCTATTGATAACAGTTTCTGGGAAATGACATGGAAGGCTATAGAATACACAGTTTTGGGTTACACCCATACAGTGATGAACTGGTCCCAGCTGTTCTAACTAGGACATCACTCAAGGCTACTTTTGGTGTGAATTACAAGAGATGGGTGCTTTTTCTGATCTGAGGTCTACTTTAAGATTAGATGAAGTGCAACCCATTGACTGTAAGAGAAGTCTAAAGGACTAAAGTAACTGTAGTCACAGGTACAGTAATTGTGATCTGTAGTGATGCCAGAGGAGGAGTGGGTCTTTAAAAATTAGTTACAACTAATCTGAGGTCAAGTTTAAATCACATTATTTTATGATGGCATGGAGAAAATTAAACTGAATACCTTAACTGTGTCTGGATTTTATAGATTTCAAAGACATGTTCAGCTTACATATAAAGCAATTTTACCCCTAATTTTTGTTATGCGTTGTGTTTACCATGGTGTGAGTGTCATGTTTCTTCAGGGAAAGAAAGAGCATAAACTTCCATCCCTTCTGACACTGTTGGCTCATTGCCCAGGAGCATGCCTTTTCCCAAGAGCACTATGCAAAAAAGGGCTCTACGAGCACTTAATTTCCCTGTGGTAGCCAATATGTTGTACCTTCCTTTGCTATAGTAGTGGAGGCACAGTGCTGAGTCTGAGGAAGCTTCAGCTGTGTCATAGGTTATGCAAGGAGCATGCTGGGTGATCTTTGGCAAATGATTTCACTATGGTGTGCCACAGTTTCCCTTTAATTAGCAGAATACTGAGATCTGCTAATAAGCAGTGCTTCACCAGAGCCAGGTAGTGCCATTAATCACTGAATTAATAACTAGTGTATTTGTCTGAGTAGACATATTAAGATATGGTACAATGGCTTAAGGTGAGTTAGATTTTACACTGGCAGGAACAGAGGTATGTTTTTTTGAATAGGAAAGAATTGCTTTCCACCAAACCTCTTAAACCAATATGCTTTACCTCTTGACAAGGTACTGACTCATGTTGGCAGAGCAGAAGTGGCCTTGGAAGTGAAGTGGAGGGCAGACTGCTTGCATGCCACGGTGTTCAGAGAGTGATGCTGCCAGGTTCCAAAGGGCATCCTCTGCAGCAGGAGAGATTTGTTGTGATTTTTCTGAAGGTATGGCACCATAGGTCCTCTGGACTCCATCTAGTTCACTGCTTGGCGGGCAGATAGGCAGTGAAAATGCGAGCACTCTGGGCCATTCAGACGACCCCAAGGTGTTGGGTTGTTATAGCCATTGTGCCTATAACTGAACTTACTGCACATACCTTCTTTACCTCCCATAACCCTCTGGTTAGGGTCATCTTCCAAACTCCTCCTTTTAGTAAGCTCCTTTATACCTTTATGTCTCTTGCTTTTTATCCTTCTGCCTGCAAACCTATTTCTCTTCCTCTCCAGTCAGAGTGCCGGTGTTTGCTGCCGTATCCTTCCCTTCCCAGAGCTCTGAATGTATTGATTGCTTCTGCTTTTCTTACAAATGTATCATTGTTCTCTGTTCTGCCTGCTCTCAAAAGTGCAAGAAAGGTGAAATGAGTGGTTTCCTCCCATTTCTTTTCCCTCCACACCAAGGGCTGTTGCTCCTGTTTGCTCCTGTTTCTCTTCCTTTCTCTCCCAGATGCTTTTTCCCTCTTGAGGGTCTCTGTTTTTTTGTTTTCCTATTTTTCTTTAGAATCCCTTCCCTTCCTTAAATAAGTGTAGAAAACTTTTGCTTTCGCTGAGTGGGGAAGATGGCAGAACTGGGACAAGCATATTGTTCTGGAAGCTATAAGTATGGTTTCTGGGTTTCCTGAAGGTAATTAATTGGTAGAAAGTACTTCTAAAGAAGCTGTGAAAAGAGGTCTATCTTGAGAGAATAGTCCTGCCTCTGTGCATTGTCTCTGCTATTCACTCTTTGCTTCCTTTTTCATTTTGTTTTCTGTGTGAAGGCCAGCCACAGTCCTTCCAATGTGTGTCTAAATGTTACCTATGAGACTAATTCTATGATTTCTTTATGTGTTATAGTTCGTGGTGTCTGGATATAAAAATAGACTCAGTGGGAAAGATTAAGTGGGAGTATTTACTTGCTTACTTTTCACAGAAATCAGTAGAGTTAAGTTGCCTATATAAATATATGTCTTTGCTACTGTGTGAAATTTAAACTGTGAGAAAGAAACAAGGGTGTCCTGGAATACTAACAAGTGAGTAGGAAAAGGGATGTGTGATGAATGGAAAAATATCTTCTTGTTAAGGATTTTGCTTGATCCCTTTTATATTTTATGGTTTGGTTTTTTTTTTCATTCTGCTACAGATGTTTTGGGCTGCCCTGCCCGTTACTTACAGGATAAATAGGATTTATCTATCTATTAGATATTTTTAATCTTCTGTTTGTCTGCTTAAACAGATTTATCTGCTGTTTATCTGCTGAAATGTCTCTGAGAACTTTATTCATTCTGTTCCTCTAGTAAAATAAGGGTAATAATGCTTCCTGACCTATGGTCTTGTGTGTTCAGATAATAATCTATTTTGACAGGAATTATTTTCTATTCTGCTATGTGTTCCAGACATGACTGGTCTTCCAGTAAGATTATATACCACCGCAAGATTATATACCACTGCACACATCTCCTCAATTTTTTTTTGCTTCCATTACTTTGCTAACTATATAGCATTCGTTGTTGTTGCCTGTATGAAGAACCTGTATTTTCTTAAAATTTACTATTAATTTACAAATATTTTTGATTTATGTCATTATTTCAAATGTTTTTTTATTACAGATGATCCCTTCAATACTTAAAAGATAGTCACTATATAAAAAATGCGTGGAACATGTATAAAATGGTCTGAAAATTGGACAACTATTAAATCCCCAAAATACCCTGAACTTTAATCTAGCAGGAAAAGACATAAATTCCTGTTTTGAAAGCTGAAGCTAGATATATTCAAATTAGTGAAGCTAGATAAATTCAAATTAGTAAAAAGGTACGTATTTTCACTGTGAAAGTAAATATTAGTTATGATACATTATGTAATACTATTGAACATTTTCCTGTTCTTGAATCTTCCTAAAATAGATGTTGTTGTGTAAAGAGAAGCCATAGGGTTTTTGCCTAAATTACTGTTTGACCTCTATTAATGCAGAAATGAGATTACATTGTTGTAGTAGTCCTTTTGGCTTTAGAATCTGTGAATTTTTGAGTCTATGAAATGTTTCTCTCTTTTGTTAATTATTATTTTCTAATTGAGTGTTAAGCTATTTCCTAAACCTTCATCTCCTGCTGAGGTTGTAGAGTTCTATTGTCATGTTTTCTTACAGCCTTTGATTCACTGACTTGAAATCACAAGCGTCCTCCCTCTCACGTGGTGATCAGTACTAAGTATAACATTTGATTAATGGGATTAGAAGACTGGTTGTCTTGAAATTAGATTGCAGAGTGGGATATTACAGCTAAATTGTCAAATCAGATCTGCAAAGGTATTTCTGCTTGAAAGAGAGCACTTATGCAGGGAGAAAATACACAGCAATTGTGTTTCTGAGAGAGAGTGAGAAAATACAAAAAGGACACCTTAAAAAAAGCTACTCTGGCAAGTATCAGTCTGTTTCTTGCAGTAAGTACTGAGAATTAGAATCACCTGTCTTTTAGATCTCTGTGCTTTGCCTGAAGGGGCAAAGGGATAAGAACTGGTATAAGCAGAGCAAGAGTGCTATACAAGTACTTACCTCTTTGCATGACAGTCTGGAAAATAAGCTGACTATTAATAAGTCAAATATATATATCCACATATTATAAAACTCTTATGGAAATGATTCACTTCCAGTCATCAGATCTTGAAGGCTTTTGCAAAGGACAGTAGTATCACTAAATCCTGATGTACAATGGTGTAATGGAGATTAAAATATTATGAATAATCACTGAGGTAGAGTTTGGCATGGACATTATTTTTTTGCTCTCATTTAAAACTGGGCATTTCTGCAGGTGTGTAGAAGGGCTGGGGTCAACCAGCTGTGGACCTGACACATCCATGCTCAAGCAGGGGAGAAAGTGTGTTTTGTCACCTGTGCTTTATTCAGTATATGGGACAGGATATTAACAATATCAGTTTGCTTCCTCACTTTTCCTTGTAACTATTTGCATTATCTTCTCTCTCTCTTTTTCATTCCAGCACAAATAAAGATTATATTAGTCACAGGTTTCCAGGATGATACTGTTGGATGGAAATGCCTAATTCAGATTGTTATTATTGTATTATATTGACATTCAAAACTGGTAACTTCTTTGTTTTTCCATTATTTCCCACAGGGTGCAGCTCTAATTAGAATGTTGGCTAACTTTATGGGTCACTCTGTGTTTCAAATGGGCTTACAAGTAAGTAAAGGCATTTCTGACTTTTCTCTTGCTCTCTCTTTTTTCTTTTGAAGCTATATTTGTATCTGTTTGTGGAAATGTTTCTTTACTTCGGGACCATCTGAGGCACCACCATGTCCCTGAACTGAATTTGATGCTGAGTGGTGTAACACACGTTGCAGTGCCACCTGTTTCACCTATGTTTCTAGGTGTATGAAGTGATTGCACTCTAATTGGCACATGGCTTTGTGTCTGTTTTGTGTACATAGCCATGTAGAAGCCATTTTATCCGTGTGACAACTGCATAAAGGACTAGCTGAGGAAGTAGCTACTCTTTGCCTACATTTGACTGCTGGTCTAACAAATAATAACAACATCAAGCTAACTAGAAAATACACAGCCCTAAAACCAATAATGCTTTTCAGATAAATATTTTTGCCATCCCTTCCTCCATAGCAAAATCCTTGAGCTTTATTTTTACCTTTGATGAGCATGGAGTGCTCTCTGCCTTGATGATGTTTTGAAAACTCACTCTGCCTTTTAAATGAAATTTAAAGAGGTAACATTTCTATACAAAGAGAAAGAAATTCAACATGCTGATTACCAAGGATGAAATCTTTTCAGCAATAATTCAGCACAAATGAGCATTTCGTAAACTATTTAAAAGCAAACAAGCCAAAGCATAAAAAACAATGTGAATCCCTCTATTGCATTGAAATCTGCTTGAGTAAATCATGTTAAAGGCAGCTGTGATTGATGAATTATGTATGATGCAGCCTGCTACTTAGAAGTGTCCTTTAAAGTAAATTGATGTTCACCTGAAATACAATTATGCTAAGTTGAAAAGAGCAATCAATCTTATCTGTTCTTAGTAAGCTTTTCATTTTGAAATTTAAATAAACTACGTCTAGGATCAGGTCATTTTTTAACAGAAAAATTCTACCTCTAACCAAAATAAATTGGAAGATAAAATATAAAACAAAAATTAAATGAATGCATTGGTCATGTCAGAGAGGTGTGTTCCATGAAAAAGCAATGAAAGGAAATTTGCTGGGGAAGTACAGCTTTTTGGAGAGTTTACAGCACATCCAGGGTTTGCAGCATAACTTACTCACAGGACCCAGTTGGATCATTTTCTTAGTTGTAACACCAGATCAGATGAGTTAGATAAGTTTCTCATCCAGATAAGAAGTCTTTAAATCAGAAGTATCCTTCCTAAAATCTTGTGTATGTTAAGGGTAAAACTCTCATCTCATTTAAGCCAGTAAGGCTTCTGTCCTTAGTCCAGCAAACTCCATATTCCAGCCAGAAACTTTTAAGTGCGCAGATCCATTCAGAGAGAAATTCAGTAGCACTTTTTCCCAATGAAGTGTGTCGCTCAAGGAAAAAAAGTTTTAGTGCGTACATCTCAAATCCTGTTTTCCTGTTTTCTTCTATGTTTACCTGAGAAATAACAGTGTGCAAGTTTTCCTGAAATAAACTGAGAAAAAAAGTTCAGATCGAAGAGTAGCTATGTAGAGATTAATCATAATTACCATAAAGTTGTAATGGAGCTCTGTTTTTTGATTTGAATGGTTTCCTATTATTTCTATTTTCACTGGTTCTGCTCTAATTAGAAACTCTTCTGTTTGCTAATGAAAGTCTGTGAAAAACCTAACTCTTAAAATCTGACTAGTGAAAGTCTTGGCATCAGTTCAGTAGGAAGATGAGGATTTTAACTAAAAATGGTTTGAAATCCAGATAGAGATTTTCCATGTGTATGTCTGCAAGTTGAACAAAATAAAACATAAAGTTCATAAGGTTTTTCATAAGCTAAAAATTGTACAATTGGAAATATCTGTCAATCATTTAATTATTTATATTTTGTGAACCTAACAAAATAGTGTTCCTGCACTGTACAGTTGGGAGGCTATAGCTTTACTAATGATAAGGGAAACTGGAGGACTAGCTTACCCTTTCTGTCATGCACTGGTTTGGGCATTTTAGCTCTTTAGCTTGATACCATCACTTGGGATCTAGCATTATGCTACCTTGAATCCTGTTTTAGCATGGAATTCTAGTGTTCAACTAAATGACTGTTCTTGAGGATAGCTGCAAAATCAAGTATTACTACTATTTATAAATCTCTTCAAATAACAAATACTGTGAAAGTGCACTTGGTGGTTCCTTTTTCCTATATTATTTTAATGGCTTGTTGAGTAACTGAGTTCTGAAAGACCTCTGCAGCCAGTTTTCCCAGAGAGAATGCTGTGGGAAATGGTATCAAAGACTTTACTGAAGTCCAGGTAGAAAAAATGCACAGCCTTTCCCTCCACAAAATGTGTCACCTTGTCATAGAAGATCAGGTTGGTCAAACAGGATCTGCCTTTCATACACACGTGCTGGGGAGGCCCGATCCCATGATTGTCCTGCACATGCTGTGTGATAGCCCTCAAGATGAGCTGTCCCATGACCTTCTCTATCACTGACGTCGGACTGACAGGCCTGTAATTCCCCGAATTCTTCTTCCACTCCTTCTCGTAGATGGGTGTCACATTTGCTAACTTCCAGTTGTCTGGGACCTCCCTGATTAGCCAGAACTACTGGTAAGTGATGGAAAGTGGCTTGGTAAGCACTTCTGCCAGCTCCCTCAGTACCTTTGGGTGTATCTAAGTGGTGTAGCAGATAACTGACCATTTTCCCTCGGATAACTGATGCTTCAGTTCTGCTCTCTCTCCCCGTCTTCTAGCCTGGGGGGCTAGGTACCCAAAGAACAATTGGTCTTACTATGAAAGACTGAGAAAAAGAAGGCATTAAGTACCTCAGCCTTTTCCTTATTCTTCGTCTCTATGTTTTTCCCCATATCCAGCAAAGCATGGAGATTGTCTTTAGCTCTCCTTTTGTTCTATATTTATATAAACATTTTTTATTGTATTTTACAGAAGTGGCTAGGTTAAGTTCTACTTGGGCTTTGGTCCTTCTGATTTTCTGCCTGCTTAACTTCATAACATCCTTGTAGCCCTCCTGAGTTGCTTGCCCCTTTTTCCAAAGGTCATAAACTCTCTTTTTTCATCCAAGCTCCAGACAAAGCTCTCTGTGCATCCAGGCTGGTGGTGTTCCCTGCTGACTCATCTTTCACACATGGGGGTGGACTACTCTGACACCTTGAAGATTTCTTTCTTTCCTGGACTCTTTTACATTTCAGGACTGCCTGCCAAGGGGGTCTCTTAACCAGTGTCGTAAATAGGCCAAGGTGAAAGTTCTAGTGACCCACCTCCTTACTTCTCCAAGAATTGAAAACTCTATCATTTCATAATCACTGTGCCCAAGATGTTCTCCGTTTATCGTATCACCTGCCAGTCTTTCTCTGTTCACAAACAAGAGATCCATCAGGGGACCTTTTCCAGTTGGCTTACTCTCAAGTTCTATCAGGAAGTTATTTTCCACACGCTCTAGGAATCTCCTATACTCTTACCTCTCCACTGTATTATATTTCCAGTCACTATTAATATTGTTTCAGTTCTTTTTAGTGTATTAGCTATGTCCTTAAGTGTTTAACAGGTGATAAAAAACAATAATCTTGTAGTTTTATTAAACTAGCATAAACCAAAATGAGTAGCCCTTTATTTGTCTTTGCATTGTTTGTGGTTTGATCAAAATCAAGGTATGATTCAGCATCTTATTAAGACCTACAGAATTAGGGCTTTTATATAAGGGAAACTTCAACAGATGTGGTAATCTTTGGGTTAAGGAGAGGAAAAGATAAGGTTTAGAGCAAAAAGTAAATAGGATTGCTACCGTTTTTGTCCGCTTCCTCTTTTATTCTTAATCTAGTCACATGCCGTCACCTGGTAGGTGGACTTTTTGAAGAGCAGATCGAGATAGCTTGGGGGTGAAAAATCCCTTATAGCACAGAAAACAATCATGTTAAAAAGAAAAGCTGATGAAGGAGAATGGGGCTCTTTGGTGAATATTCTTTAACATATGATCTGAAGCAAAAGTATGAATGTGGACATGATTCATAACAGTTCAGCAAACTGTTCTATTGAGAAGTCTGCAAGAAAGTAAAATTGTGGTAGAGATGCTCAGTTTTACAGATAGATGTCTTTAGA